TCATCAGCTCTTATAACTTCATCCGCCGTTTCAAATTTAACCGTTTTTATGTTCTTCGTTCTACGTTCTACAATCTTCGTTCTACGATCTTTGTTCTATGATCTTCTTTCTACGATCTTTGTTCTACGATCTTTGTTTTACGATCTTTGTTTTACGGTTTATCTTATTCTTTTACGGCTTCATCTTTCTCTTTAGCCCGGTTAGCTTGTAATTTCCTCGCAAGAAAACACAACAAGAAATTTTATTCATCTATCTCATCATTAAACTAACTTCTATTTCACCTCCTTCTTACTAAATCAATCGATAATTTATATTATACTACAAACCTCAAATATTTATTTAAAACTGTGTAAACAAATTAAATATAATTACTAATTAAAAATTATGCTAATCACAAACCGCATAGTTGTCACTAACTGTTTTTAGAGTTTACCACAACATAATTACACAGAAAAGGCAATTTTTTTTTAATGTGTGAGAATAGTCCAATTCTAATTAATGATATATTATAGTTGTGTCACGCGGGTAAAAAAAGAGGTAAAATTATGGTTAAATTATGTGTCCGGGGCTCCTTCCAATTTTGAAACATGGCTTTTTTTAAACAGCTTTTTTTTTATGTTTTGTATGTTATAAAGTTACACAATAACTATTTTTTTGTTTCTAATTTGATCTTTTGATATTTTGTTTTCTGTTAGTGTATGTGCATAATCTATATTTTCCCTATGTGCCCGGGGCTACCCGATTTCCCCTATGCATGTTTTGTAGAAGAAACGTTTGATAAAATCATGTATAGTCTAAGCATTTTGAACGATTTAAAGTATTTGTATGATAAAGCGCGTTGTTCTTTTTGTTAGGGTAACGTTATGAAGTATTTTGTCCTATTTAGGACATTTCCGATCTCCAATCATTGCAGCTCATTGCAAAGCATCATTATTTATACAATTATAAACGTACAAATGTTTAGAGTTTGCTCCATGCCTGGAAATTACCCAGCAAATATGCTATAGCGGGTTTTCAGTGGACCCATATTTTTAGCGGCATTTTTAGCAGACCGCTGTAGTTTTGCTCATCGATTACTTAGAGGACCATTAAGTGCCTAGCCAATCATTAGCCACTATTAAAATATCGGGAAGTTATCGGCTAGCTATATATAGCAGTTGTCACTAATGATCCACTAAGTAAACGGTGAGCAAAACTCTAATAAATTGCTAAAAAAGGCCTATATAGGTTCACTTCAAATCAACTAAAACAATATTTGCTGGGTTGCTATCTTTAACATTAAAAAGTGTTGGATCCGTCGCTGTATAGCTGATAAATCTGTCGCTGTTTACTGATTGCTTCAGTTTATTCCAATAACACAGACTACTGAAATAGGTTTTCACATAGCTATGTATCAACATGCTACTAAAAATAAACTATATGTTGCTAAGATTACCTAAAACTCTCCGTTGAAAATAAAATCAAAGGTTTGTAATTTTTTATTTATTATAATTGAAATTAAAATAAGAAATACCTTTTAACTAAGTATTTTTAATCGGTCTTAGAGACTTTTTTGAATAATTTCACTTGATCTTTCCTTACTGAATATGTAATTTTTTTTTTTGCAAATTATTATAAAAAATATTATAAACAATGCGAGATCTATACGTTTAGTAATTTTCGCTTTTAAAATCAACACTGCAAAAATAAATCTTTAAAATTTGTTCTCTAATACAATAAATAAAATAGAATACTAAAAAGATGAAAGGTAGAATTTTAAATATACTCTCCTGTATATTAAATAACGTTTATTAATCATTGTTTAACATCTAAATCTTTTTAACCAATGTAACTGTAGTTTTCTCTCAGAAATAAAACATTAAGTCAAGATGTTTTCTTTTCATTACTCAATGAGAACTTGTCTCTTACAAAATTATAATCACAAATTATATAAAATCATATACTTCAAGTATTACCATTACAACCCACATAAACATATTTACAATTTCTCCTTAACCATATGAACACATTAGCAATTACACACAAAACCGTACAAACATATTAACAAAAGTTATTAAATGTAAACGCACTTAAAGTACAACCCACTTGACGTCACAGAACACTGTAACATTTAACTTAAGGGGCATTATAGACCCTCAAGAGTCATATAAACAGTAATCAATAAATTTTTTTAAGCGGACCGAAAAGTGATACGCCCTTCGCAACTGTCAACAAAACTCCTCATTTCTTCATTCTTAAACGTTGCCTAATTATCTGTTAATATTTTGAATGGGGCTCCTCGTTCACAAATAATAGACGGAGAATTTGAACTATGGCAACACTTTTGTATGAACTTGACAGCTGTTGGCACAGAGCATATCTTAAACGTCCGCAATCAATTGGACTCAGAAATTTTTCAGTTCCATAATGCGTAATATCCATGGACAATCTTTCATGACTTTCTTTAACATTTAAGCTACCTTTTGTCCAATGTATAAGTGCTGGATCTATTGACTCTAGCGGCTCGCATTTTTTTAATACCATTTGAACGTCGTTTTTAGTTGCATTTAGAAGTACTTCACAAACAAAGTTTAATGTTCTACTCAGTTCAAAGTGTCCAGTTTTCTTGAGTATACTCAAGATAGATTCAGGCTCCGCAACTACTATCCCAATACAATTTTTTAGAAGTTCATTTCCAGTCAACTTATTTAACCATCTGCTGCAAACTCTAGTTAGTGCATCAGCTAAATTATCTTCCGATGGGACAAGATTTACGTCAACTTTCCAATCGTATTCTTCAATTTTTTGTTGTAGTACGCTTATTCTTCTTTGAATCAACATTTCACCCGTCGCTTTTGACTTCAACCTTAATTTTTCAGTAAGGGTGTCAGAAATCCAGTTGAATACTGTTGTAGATTTTGTAAAAACTGCCATTTTTGCCAGTTTTCACGTTAAAGCCTTATTTATTCCTCGTAGCACCGCGTCTAACTCTGCCATGTTTATATGAACATCCGACTTTTCTTTTCGCAGCCATGTTGCATCTTCCACAAGCGTATTACCAATTTGAACTATTGCACCCATAGCTAAAGAACTTGGATTAGCGCACACCTTTCCCTCATTGCCATCCACAGCCAAAGCCCCACATGCTGGCTTGCAACTTTCAACCTCATTATAAACTTCTCAAAGTACACATTTTACATTTTCATTACAAATTTTATTATCTCAGCAGACTACAAACAACTCGTAACCAACCACACACAGGTAAATGACCCGCCAACTGTCCGCAAACCGAAAACACTACTCCTCTGGTTAACTTTTTGGATTTTTTTCAACTCGATTTTCTCTTGACCACGTCAGTTTTTTACCAGCTTTTCGTACACATAACCCCAACACACGGACCCCATTATCGTCAATCTGTTCACCCTCTTTGTTCTCCAAACCATATTTTTAAAAATGTCTCTTGAAATAATCGAGACTCACCACGTTCTCATTGATAAATATGTCATCCACGTAAGCGGACGTTCCTTTCTTAACCAACTCGTCTTTATCAATGATGGCGTTTACAACGGATTTCTTGATCATCGGCAAAATTTTCAAACCAAACCCAAGTCGTGTTAAACAATATCTCTTCTTGTGAAATGTCACCGTTTGGAACAGCTAAAGGTGTTCCAAATCCTGAAGTTCGTTTTTGTATTCTGTTTCAGCATGTTTTGATACCGCGTACTGAGCAACTTTGTGAAACAGTTGGTCGGGTCCATCTCAGTCTCTTCATTTCCATTTGACTCTCCATTCCATACCATCAAATTCATTCATAATCTTTTTTTTTTAATTTCAGTGTTGCTTACATCATCTTTGTTAAAAACTGCCAGTCCGCAATAGCTAGACCCAAACTTTGATGTTCCTGATGAGGAAATGAAAACTCCTCCCAATAATTTAAATGAACTCATAAAAAGCATCATATCAACTCCGAAAGGTTGGAAATCTACCAAAATAACTTCGTCGCGTATTTTGATATCATCAACTTCGACATTCACAGTCATGGATCCAATACACTGATGAACTTTACCTTCAAAAATTATCCGCTTTAGAGAGTTTCAACTTTTATTTTGATTTTTGGACAAAAAATTGTAAATCAGAACTATCTTTGAGCACCTCGTGTCCACCATAGTTGTTGCTACCATGCCATTAACTTTTAAACGAATAAAACATAATGTGCTGATTCCATTTTTGTTCAGAAGCAAGGTTGCGCAGATCCATCACTGCTGCACTCGTTTCCCTGCATCTTCAAGCATCTTGAAGCCATACGTCCTTCGTCACCACATTTAAAACATCAAAAGATCTTCTTCTGAGACAAGTTTTTTGCAAATGAACAGTTTTTCGCAATGTTGTGTTACCCTTGGCCAATAATATATTATATAACTAGATGTCTAACTTCGATCCGAAAAGTGAAGCCGCTTTTTACCCTTTTTACAAAAGGCGGATTAAATTTGTAAACAAATATTTTAACTTTTCTTTTTTTAAATGAAGTAAATATATTTTAAATTTAAATACTTTTTACATAAAAGTGTTAAGTGGAAATAATAATACTTGTAAAATAATAATTTATGATTCCCTTATTTATTTTCGATTAAAAAGGAATTTAAAGTTTTGAATAGAAAAGTAAAACGACAGACGCTTTTGAAGCATTTTTATGAACTAAAATACTTTTTAATATTTATAGGCTCATAAAAAACTTTATAAGTATTTTATATTTATTAAAATTTGTTTCCAAACTGTCTTTAATTTATTGGGAGCTTTTGACTTGCATTTTTAACTTTTATTCTACACTTCAACTTTAGCTTTTACCTTTTTTACAAATGGCGGACTATTGTTATCAACAAAAAAAAGCAGCTTTACTTTTTGTCCAACAAAATCCCGCAAGCTAGACATCTAGTTGTATAATATATCATTGCCCTTGGCACATGTAACACACTAAAGTATTTTTTGTACCTTAATGTTGAGACACAGCGTCAATAGTATTAATGTTATCTATCCTCACGTGGTTCAAAGCAGCTCTTTCTTTGGGTAACATAATATCAATCGGGTCTTTTGTTTCTCGAAATTGTAATGATAAAGACTCGGGCAATCCCACAACAAATGCCAAACGTACTGTTTCTTCAGAAAATTTTGCAAACCAAGCCAGTCTTTTTAAATCAACCAAAAACACATCAACTCTCTCTCCACCGTGTAACTTCCGTTTTGTGAAAAACTCATATGCACAGTACACATCCAATAAGAACGCCTCTAGAACAGGTTTTTAATTGGTGCTAAAAGTTATGATTATTCATGCCAAAAATGACTTAGGTAGAAAAATTAACACTACCATAGTTTATCTAAATCTAACGTGATATTATTGCTAAACATACTCATTTAGGTGTGGTATTGAAAAATATTGAAAAATAGTAACTTCAATTTTCATAAAAAAATGGTTTTTCATGGATAATTTTCCCTAATAATGTCTAATTAAAAATGTCAAGTTACATTCATTGAAAAGAAACACCAATACGTGTTTTTATGAAAAAATCAAAATCATAGACTTATCTATAGCCAAGCCCCAAGGTAAAAAACTACGCTTGACAATTTGTTAGTGTCGCATTACTTTTACCGGATTATATTAGTGGTTAAAATAATCTTTCCATACATACCAATATGTCATACTTTTTGATAAAAAAACTTACATATATTGTAATTGAAAAAACCTTTAATTTTGTCGGAAAAACGTGTACCAGGCCTTAGTTGCATTGAGCAGTTATTTAGGATAAACTGGCTTATATCTGCGTCCTTATTCTAACCAATTTTCAAAAAATCTTTAATGCAGAGTTCTATTGATTGCTTTAAAGTAAAAATACAATATTTAGACTTTATAATTTATAAATATACTGTTTAAAATACTTATTGACTCGTTAACTGTTTTGAGAACATTTTTTTAAAAATTCATAAATATTATATTCTGTAGACTCGATGTTTGGTATTTTCAAAGTTTTCCTGATTACATTCAAACAATTTGCTGTGGTAAATCTTTTAAATTGCTACTAATATTATGATATAATACTGTTAAAGCTGTGTATGCTTTTTTGCTTATTTTTTACAACGTTTAATTGAACGTTATACAAAATGTGTGTGTATGTATATATATATATATATATATATATATATATATATATATATATATATATATATATATATATGTATACATATATATATATATGTGTGTGTGTATATATATCTATGTGTGTGTGTATATATATATATATATATATATATATATATATATATATATATATATATATATATATATATATATATATATATATATTTATATTTATATACAGAAAGAGAAAGAGAATAACTAACTTAAATTACTTGATACATGTATATGATATAATCATAGAAACATAGACATTTATTTTTAGACAGTCATAAACGTTTTTTAATTAAATTTACTTTAGAATGAAAAAATAAATAAAACTAAAAAAACAGAAAACTCAGCGAAAATTGAAAAACAGAAAGCAAACACAGAAAACACCGTTTATGGAATGATGAATTGATGATTTCAGCAATTAAAAATGAAGATGAACAGCAAGCAGCAGTTATGGTTTTTGACATTCTAAGAAGTTTGTTACAAATTTGACTTTCTTGAGTATTGGAAATGGAGCCAAACCTGGACATCCATTATTTTACATATAACTGTGCAGCTTTAGGAATCAGATTTGGTCGATTGCAATTTCTAAAATATGCTGAAAGTTTTGCTTTAAAGCATAAAAAGTATTCAAGAATAGAACTCCTACTGAAAAATGTGGTGTGGGATTTGCAAAAGACACAAAGATTTAACTTGACGTCAACGAGAAAATACAGCAACTATCAGACATCAGTGTATTAATGTTTTTAAAGTGTCGAAATATTTTTCCATGCTTAAAAATGTGTTAACGGAAAACAATCTACTTCAGAAACCGCAAAACATTTGGAATTTAGATGAGACTGGGATGCAGTTTGATTATCGTAATGGAAAAATATCGTAATGAAAAAATGGAAAAAATGCTAAAAAAAGGGTTGAGTATCTACAATATAGTCAATTGGGTAACTGGGAAACAATCAGAGAAATAACTTTTGTCAATGCAATGGGTAACTCTTTTCTTCCACATTTCATATTTAAAAGAAAAACTACTAATTCTCTTTTGAGTTTTTAATTTGAAAATGCCCCAGAAGAAAGTACAAGGAGTGTTTCAGACAGTGGTTTGACAAAGCAAGGCATTGTATTTCTATGGTTTACAAAGACATTTCGTTTCAGAAAATTTAGTTAATTTTTAATTTTCAAAATTCTAAATTTTCATAAAAATGTATTTGAATTTGTTTACTCTTACAATATAAAAAAGCTTTCGTTTTTTAACTATAGTTTATTTTTTTGGTTTTTACAGAAATTTCAAACTCGGCCTAATCGCCTCGATTCGGGGAATTAGACCTGAACTTTTTACACATACTTTTGATATTTATGAATGTAAATGAATTTGTTCACTCTGACAGTTTGAAAAAACTCTTTTTCTTTAATCTAAGTTAATTTTTACGGTTTTAACAGTGCTTTTATACTCTTGGCCGAATTTTCACCAAAATGGGAAAACGGGTCCTGTGTACTTTTACATTTATACCTCACCTCTGATTTAAATGCACCGCTTGGCTGGCAAGGGTATTAAACTTGCTCAACAGAATACCAAATCACACCACTTTGAAAACAACTATAAACAAATATGACTTCAAATTACACATTTAATAACAATTTAAGTGACAGATAATTTTATCAAAAACTATAAAAAAATAATAATAATAATAAAGAAAAGTTATACATACAAAATGCGCTCACAAGCTTTAACAGTAAAATTTCGAAATGAAAATCTTAAGACTACAAATTAAGAACAATTGAAAATATAACATTATTTGTGTAACAATTTTAAGTACCATACCTTAAACAGAGTGTTTATCAATTTTGAAAAATAAATTAATAAATGCTCTAGTTCTTGAACATGCAAAATATAGTTGACAATGAAAGAAACACGGTTTATGAGATCTATCTTTTGTCTATAAGTTTTCCCGTTACATAATATATAGACGATCTCTAAAGTAAAATACTTGAAACTAAAATTTTTTTATTTATTACAATATTTGAACAACCAAGAGACAATTTAAAGAATTATATCTTTAAAAAGCAAGTAACTCGTAAATATATCTTATAAATGGTCATTATCAATTATAGTATTAAAAAATACGCAAGAGCTCAATAATTACATGAGTTTAATCAATTTTCCTTGTACTAATTCTTATTAAAGTCTTATCTACTTGCGGGAGAGAGAGGAAGTGTTTCAAAAGCAGCATGTTAAAAAAAGTAAAAAAGTCATTCAGTAAGTAACAATAACTGGTTTTATTATGCTACCAATAAAAAAAATTAATTTTACCTTAACTAAAAGTTAATTTCCGTCATTTCTTAATTAAGTTCCTGCTTCTCTCTAACTGTTGACTACTGATTAATATAGTAAATTTTACATCATATTAGATTTAAAAAATTAAAACCATGTTTTCGACAGTAAGCAAAATAATCAAGTGATGGCAAAGATAACTAAAAAAAAAAGAACACAATTATGTTTGAGATTACAAAAAAACAAAAAAATTAAAATCATTTAAATTAAAAACTATTATTAATTATTGCTAAAAATAGTAAAATTCATATTTTGCTTAATTCTAAAGTGTCTAATGTAAAGTCAAATTAGTTGACATCAACACCGCTTGACACTGAATTCTTGCAAGTAAGTTTTCAGTTCATCGAGCAGAATTTCTTATACTTCAACGACAATTAGTTTTATTATGCCTATATCTATCTCTTTTATTTAGCAACAATTTCAAGTCACCTATACCCATTTACACTAATGACATCTTTGAGCCTAATATTATACATCTGTTTTCATTAAACATATTACCAGTGAACATACTCCTGTTACAACTGAATAAATGAGCGTAAAATAATTTTAAAAAATTGTGATCTTTTCTAATCAAAGACTTTATTTTAAATTATGATTTATTGATACTCATATATTTTTATAAGTTTATATACAGAAGTCGTTTATTAAAAATATAAAACAAAATTTATTAACATTCTTTTTAATTTAACAAAGAATTTAGACTACAATGCACAAAGTTATTTTTACCTTTAGGTGCAATCTTAATGCACAAAAATAATAAATACAGAATCTTGAATAAAAATGAAACTAATGCAGAACCTTGTATAAAAATGTCAATCATAAGTAATACATTTATGTATGTATATATATATATTTAATTTTTTTCTATTCTTTTTAATTTTTTCTTTGAGATAATATTTATATAGATACAGAGAAATATAAAATATTCTGAAATATAGACACATTTATGTATATAATCTTACTTGTCAACTAATTACAGTTAATTTTTTATGTTAAATGCATAAAATATATATCTAATATAAAATAAATCGAATATAAAATAAAATAAAATATTAAAATTACTCAAATCAGTAACAGTTCAAGTGTCTAAGTTTTTATTATTAATCATTCTATTTAAAAAAACAATTGATTTGAAATGACTCTTTTCAATTGCACTAAAAAATAAAACAAATCTTGCTTTGCTAAGTTGCCTAGTTTTTAAGAATCTCAAAACAAATAAGTAAAAAACTAAGAACAAACAAACATTTATTTATTAAAAATACTCTATTTAAACAAATTAAATTAAACAGAGAACAACATTAATTCTTCTTGAAAGCTGAAAAACTTTTCAGCTCAAATTTGCCTGCAGACCTTGCTTGTAAAACCAGTTGAATAAGAAAAGCATTTTATAAAGCCTAGAAACTACTTAGAAATGGTATATGCAACATTGAAATTTAAATGTTGACTGGACAAATTATAAGTTGATATTTTAAAGAAATTCATAAAAATTTACAATGATTTGTTCTTCTTACCACATAAATACATCATATGATAAATCTGAAATTAAAAAATGTAACGAATAAGTAAATACAAAAAAAAACATCATATGTGAATTGAAAATCAATGTACCTGATAGAGATAAGCTGTTGTGATACCAGAGTAGTAGCTGTTAAATATTGTTGTTTCATGATAAACAAAATGTATTAATTGATGTCTTAAATGACTTTTAGTAAATAAGTAAAAGTAGTGTGTTCCAGTAATGAAACTACTTATTAATCATTTTTAACCAACATATAGGCCAAAGGTAACAGCATTATGCAAAAAATTATCAAAGGTAATGTTATGCATTTTTAGAATAGTTATATATTGAAGGCTAGACAACACTTAGACCTAAAGCAGTAACATCACTTGACTGGTAAGCTTGGAAAGTCTTGCTCTACATGTTTGGCAAGTCACACTACTTTGAAATCATGTTAACAACATTATATAAACATATATACTAACTATAAAACACAATATAGTTTTTTAATGTTATATAACATATAAAAAAAACTCATTTAACAATCATGCACACATTAGATAAAACACATTTCATACTATTATAAAAACACATTTATAAAACAACTATATAACATATATCACCACATACACATATTTATTAAAAACGTTACAACTTTGAGCATAATATAAACATATATGCAAACTTTTAACAACTATAAAACAACATTTATTAGCACCAATTATTTTTAATGTAACAAAGAATGCAGGCAACAATGCACGATATTCTTAATAAAAATGTTATGTCAGTCAGTATATATTTATCGAAATAAAAAAGATGAAACCATTTAAGAACTAAATTAACAATTTCTAATAAATACATGTTCAGTCACCTTAAAATGAAGCATAACACAACACTCTTTTGACAAATTCCAAAATAATTTTTTTTAATTTTTCTATTTCTTATAATTTTTCCTAAGAGAAATATAGATATAGAGAAATATAAAATAGATTGATATAGATATAGAGAAATATAAAATAAATTGAAATAAACTCAAACTTATGTATATAAACTTACATGACCACAAATAACAGTCTTATTTTATTTAACTTTTCATATTAAACACATAAATAAAATTTTATTCTCATTATTTTTTCTAAAAAAAAAATCTTAGTCTATAAATAAGAAAATGAATTGAACTTGCTAAAAAAGCCATCAGCTCCTCTTAACTGCTCTAAAAAAAAACAATACTTAAACTACTTAAAATGTTCTTAAAAGACTAACGACAAAACTGAAACAGTTTTTCTCAAAAAAGAAACATTTTACTAGAAAAACTATTTAAACAGTCATTTTAGTTCTAACTTCTTCTAAAAAATGAAAACAACCAAAAACAAACAAACGATTATTTAAATTTTTATTTTAAACAATGAACAACATCAATTCTTCATGAAAATAAATATATATCAGCTTTAATTTGCTTGCTGATCTTATACGAAAGACCGCGTGGCATATATATCCGCGCATAGAAAAGTCTAGAAACTACTTAAAAACTAGGTAATAGTGTATTTTACAGAATACAGAACCGTAATAATTAATATCGAACATTGGGCGTAACTACGCGCACTATTCATTACAGTATTAATATTTAGATACAAATGTTCTAACCTTTTAATTTGGAAGAGTTGTTAAGAATTTCAGTTTTATCTTTAAAATCAAGAAGTTTTAGTATTGTTGTTCTATGTTTGTTGTGAACTACTTTGCCTATTCTACGTGCTCTTTCAATGTTTACATTTTTGACTACTAATATGTTGTTGAATATTTTTTTTACTTTCTTTTCACATTCAGCCCAGCTTTCATTATCATTTTCAAGGACACCATCGATTCTTAAATTATTACGTCTTGACCTATCCTTAATCTCTCTGAGTTTGTTATTTATTTTTATAAGGTCATTGTTGTTATTTTGTATTTGATGTTTGCCAGATTTTCTTTTGCAAGACAATCAATAGCGGTTTTTTTTTTTTTAATAAAGAGATCATCATGAAAATTTAAATTTTCTTTGATTTCTTCTACTTGCTTTGTTATATAAACTACTGTATTAAACTATTTGTATTAAATATTTGTAAACTATCTGTATTAAATATTTATAAACTACTGTATTAAACTCTCACTACCAGATAGTGGACATCAAACTTTCCTTGGTCAGCCATGAAAAACAGGTTACATACGTTGCACTTTTGTTGTTTTTCTATTAAAAAGTTTAGGCAGAGCAAATTTTCTAAACTTTATTGCGATCTTCAATTTAACAGTTCAACAGCTAAAAAATTCACAACAAATAATTGCATAATATAAAAAACATAACTTTTTTTTCTGTATAATATAAAATTTTTTTTTGTATAATATAAAAAACTTAACTTTTTTTTAAGTTTAAAAAGCTTGACTTATTTTTTTAACTGAAATATTAGTTTAAATTCTATTGAATTTTTTTTCTTAACGTAAATTGTAATGAAAAGAGTTTGTTTACTGGCATACTGCAGTAAACATACAGTGAATTGTTTAACTTTACTATTTAAGATTTAAAAAAACGATAAACAGCATTTGTTATTTAAGTAATAGGGTTGGTTTCATTAAAATATGATATGTCAACAAAGTTGAACTGGGAGGATTCTAAAGTATCTTTAGGCAAAAAATTATTATAAGAGTTTTGATATAACATATTTTTATTATAATTAATGTTGTTATTATTATTTTCTATAGTTATAATTTTAAAAATAGAATAATTAGGCATACAAAATAAGCCTATCAACCTTTTTTTCTATTGTATCTACTTGTGTATGTCTAATTTTTTATATGCAATTGTACATTTGATGTACCCAATATGCATCTAGATGTTTTTTAAACATTGTGACAGATGTTGAACACACCATTTTAGATGGTAGACTATTCGATAAACTTATAAATTGCATATTAAAAAAGTTTTTCCGGACATCTGTCATACATTTTTTTAAATTTATAAGCATAACCGCAGGTTTTTAAGTCAGGGTTAGTCATAATGGAGGAATAAATACTTACAAAATATATAATCTTTGTATTATTATTAAGAAGCAGCCATATTAAATTATATAATCTATATATTATTATTAAGCAGCCGTGCAGATGATATCACTCTAAGACAGGTGTTGATGGATGAAATACTAAATGGTATTTAATGAGAAAATAAAAGGTTTGTAACTGCATTTATAAAGATTGTGAATGCATTTGTAAGTTTTTGCCATGTCAGTATGTAAGAAACGATAACTCATGCTAGTTAAATTTAGTCTCAGTAGTCTTTGGTTGTAAGTGAGTCCAGTTTGGCCAAAAACATATTTACTAGACTTGCATAAAACATTTTCAAGTATTTGTTGATCTTTTTAAAGTCTAAATTAGTAGACAGAGCTGCAAGAATCAAGGTGAGGATGAACAAGGAAAATAAGTAAAGTACGAAATGTTAAGATATTGAGATTGACAAATGATCTTTTCATCATTCCAACATATTTATCGCCAGTGTTATTTTTGCACTTACAAAATAAAAGTCAAATTATTGTCAACGAAGATCTCAAAGCCTTTATTTTCAAGAGAGTTTTTAAGAGTTTTTTAAGTATTGAGATTTGTATCAACAAGTATATAAATGAGTTTTGTGTTTGTTGGTCCTAAGGGCATAACTTTACATTTTTTACATCAAAACTTAGTTTTTATAGTTTTGCCCAGTTTTCCATAATGTCCACAATTTTTTGCAGTAACCTAGTAAAAAATAAAACCGCGTCCCACATGGGTACCATGTGGGTTCCGTGTGGGATTCATGGGATTTATATGGGACGGATTTTCCCATGTGGTATCCGTATGGAAATTTGCCACTTAAAACCCATATGGGTAAATCCCACATGGGTTACATGTGGTATTTACCCACATGGGATTTTCCCATGTGGTATCCGTATGGAATTTTCCACTTCAAACCCATATGGGTAATCCCACATGGGTTACATGTGGGAACCATATGGTATTTACCCACATGGGAAATCCCACGTGGGTTTCTTATGGGATTTACATGGGATTTTATTTGAAGGCTGGAAACTAAAATAATCTTATATGTTAAAAACAACATTACATTACTTTTCGCGGTGAAGTTACATGCATCTTGTTTTAGCTTTAATTAATCATTTAGTTTTAATTAATCTTAAAAAATGGTTAATTTTTTACAAAAAAAATCAGATGTAAAAAAAAAAATTTAAATTATGAAAAGAGAAGAAGTGGAAAAAGTATTTTCAACATTTACAGAGTGAATCAGGAAATGAAGTGTTGGTAATTTATTTTGAAACAGATTGTTTCACGAGAAGAATTGGTAAGAGTAATGAAATCTTTTTATTCAACATTTACGGATTGAATCAGGAGAAGAAGTGGTTGTAATTGATTTAAAACAAATTGCATCACGAGAAGAAGAGAAAAAATATTGCTATACTATAAGTATCAAGATTAAAATAGTAAGTTTACTCTTAAATGAAAACACTTTGATAGCGATTTCACAGCTTAACAAAAAACATTTGATGTTTGTCAAAAAAAACACGTAGTTTTTCTAAACTTTGCTCTCTTATATCTTTTTGTATAGTTAAGCAAGCGCTTTGATGTTTTTTGCATCAGTTAGTGTTACTCAATCTCTTTCCAACCATATATAGAAAATACTAAGTTTTGTATGGCTCCATTTATATATTGTCCATATCTTAAGAAAATTTTAATCAAATGAAAATAAATATTTTACTTCTTCCCAGATATAAGCTCTGCATTGTGCAAGAAAATTAAAAGCTTGATTTTCACTATTTGAACTACAGGTTGCCCTTATTTAAACTGTTTTTTTTTTAAACAAAAACCTAAAAGTAGTATTGAACTAAAGCTCACGAAAATGGACTTGAGTAAGAAATTTAATTTAATTCTTTTTTACATTTATTTATCTATTTTTGTTTGTTGGTTAAAGTATTATGAACTCTAATAATTCTTACTTTAATTCCCTTATTTTAGGTGTTGGCATTAACAATAGTCCTGAAAAAATGGTTGCTCCATCTATAATGCAAGAAAGTAAGTCAAAATTTTAAATTAGGAATACTGTAGCACAAACTTTTTGATTTTAATAATTCTATTTATTGAAATCAAAGTGTAATGATCCACCCCTTATTTTACTTTGTTGTCACTTAAGTTAAGTTTACTTTTAATTCTAACATCCAACACTATCTTGAATTATCTAAATATTAATGGAGGCATTGTATCCCTCAAAAATTCAAATTTGGTTTTAACCAATAGTCATTTCTTACAAAAATTGTAAAAAAAAAAAGATAAATTTAACTTGGCAAGGCCACAGCTTACATTATTTTTTACATCATTGTTTCAGTTTCCGAATCTAGAATTATGCTTTTCAAGTGCCTTAAAAAGTCAAAAAATTTCATTGCAAAATTAAATCGTGCCAAAAATTTTGTTTTAACAAAGTATTTTTTAAGCTCTGTTTTCTCTTTGAATGTTGCATTAAAGGATGTTGTTGGTTTGTTACCTTCTGATGCTAGTTTTACACCTACTTATATTATTCTATTATTCTTTATTTCATAGGTTAAATAACCAGATAATATAGGGAGTTTTTTTTTATCTAAATTGGAAACTGGAAGATTCTCTTCATTGACTTGTGTTTCATGAAGAAAACTATCAGAACCATTTCCTAAAGGAATGTATACAATAGAATTTGGAGTAACAGAGCAAAAAAAATTATCATAAGCTATTTGCAAGTTTAAATCAGAAGATACAAAAACGGTTACCTGATTTAGAACAATTTCACAGTTGTAGGGGTAGAACTAGCATAAGGTAAGAAGGTAAAAAACCAACAACATCAGAAAAAGCATCAATAAAAGAGAAAACTGAGCTCAAAAGATTTAATGTTATGTTCCCTGAATTTTTTTTTTTTATCTTAATTTTTTTATTTTACATCTTTTTTTTAAGGCTACCAGCAATTACTAATAAAGTTGGAAATTACTGGAAAAGCAAGACGAAGTTTATATAGCAAGATAACTATTAACAAACGACTTAAAAGATTGCATATTTTATTAATCAGGAAAACAAGATGAATGGAGTGAATTCTAAATAACTGATGTTTGAGCAAAAAAACTAGATGATTAAGAATTTTTAGAGCACTTATAATATAATATACAAATACTAACTTTGAAATGCTTTGAATATAAGAATTTTAAAGCATTTTAATTTTTTAAGAAAAAGAATTAAACAAAATGAGTGTATCTGATAGGGTGTAAGGATGCAGATGACTGGTTATCAGGATGTAGAAAGTTAGAACTTTCAGGAGAAAAAGGTGGAGATAGAAATAGAAAAAGTGTGTTTCAGATGATTTGAATATGTTACAATTATAGAAAGAAGGTGTTCAAGACCGTGTATGTTGGAGAAGCGGCATTATAAGAAACGTCCAACTTGTACAAGCCCGGAAACAAGGACGCTAAAACCATGATAATAAGGTTTTTATGAGAGATCAGTACGAAGAGATAATCCAAGATGATGTAAATTAAAAGACATAGTAACAGTGATGATATTGATCAGTATAGGAATGTCAATACCATTGTGATTTAGAAGCGTTTAGTGCCACGGGGTCTGTATGTTTTGTGATTGTGATGTTATTGTTGTGATGTTTTGTGTTGATAGACAACTTGGCTTATCTTCTCGCAGGTATCTATTGTTAAAAATGATTATTAATTTGTTTCGTTATTGAAACTTTTTACTTCTAATCATTCACTAAAAACCAAGAAATAATTTTTAGAATCAAAACATTTTTTCATTTCTCAAAGAGTATCTTTCTTATGTTATACTTATTTAGTTTAAATATTTTCAATTTTTAAACAAATGAATAAAATATTTTTAATACATTGTGTATCTGTGTTTCTAATAATATTTTTGTAACATTTTAGGGTAGAGATTCTGCTGTTATACCTGCCTATTGCTGTTGTAAGTACTCCAAATTTCAGGACATTCATTTGTTATGAGTAATTTTCAATAAAAAATTTTAACTTTATTGAAGAATCTTGCCCTTGTTAAATAGGTCATTCTGATAGATTTCAATGACCTTACACAGTAGTTTACTGACTGGTCTGTAAATTATAATATAGTTTCAGGGATGTACTTTTTGGATTCCATGAATCTTCTACGCATATTTGCATGGTATAATAGTATAACCCCAAATTTTGTTTTCCAAATCTAAGTAAATAAAAGAAAACCTTCAGTCTGTAAAATAGATGTTTCTGGTCAATCTCGTCAGATTAAAAAAAAAATGGACCATTATGAAATTTTTTGAGTATAATGTAATAACGGTTCAAAATATCAAATATATTCAAAGTCAACATGCCCAATTGGTTTGTGCAGCCCTTTTAGAGTGATTTACTGACCGGTCTGTAAGTTATTAAAATTTGTTTCCAAACTGTCTTTAATTTATTGGGAGCTTTTGACTTGCATTTTTAACTTTTATTCTACACTTCAACTTTAGCTTTTACCTTTTTTACAAATGGCGGACTATTGTTATCAACAAAAAAAAGCAGCTTTACTTTTTGTCCAACAAAATCCCGCAAGCTAGACATCTAGTTGTATAATATATCATTGCCCTTGGCACATGTAACACACTAAAGTATTTTTTGTACCTTAATGTTGAGACACAGCGTCAATAGTATTAATGTTATCTATCCTCACGTGGTTCAAAGCAGCTCTTTCTTTGGGTAACATAATATCAATCGGGTCTTTTGTTTCTCGAAATTGTAATGATAAAGACTCGGGCAATCCCACAACAAATGCCAAACGTACTGTTTCTTCAGAAAATTTTGCAAACCAAGCCAGTCTTTTTAAATCAACCAAAAACACATCAACTCTCTCTCCACCGTGTAACTTCCGTTTTGTGAAAAACTCATATGCACAGTACACATCCAATAAGAACGCCTCTAGAACAGGTTTTTAATTGGTGCTAAAAGTTATGATTATTCATGCCAAAAATGACTTAGGTAGAAAAATTAACACTACCATAGTTTATCTAAATCTAACGTGATATTATTGCTAAACATACTCATTTAGGTGTGGTATTGAAAAATATTGAAAAATAGTAACTTCAATTTTCATAAAAAAATGGTTTTTCATGGATAATTTTCCCTAATAATGTCTAATTAAAAATGTCAAGTTACATTCATTGAAAAGAAACACCAATACGTGTTTTTATGAAAAAATCAAAATCATAGACTTATCTATAGCCAAGCCCCAAGGTAAAAAACTACGCTTGACAATTTGTTAGTGTCGCATTACTTTTACCGGATTATATTAGTGGTTAAAATAATCTTTCCATACATACCAATATGTCATACTTTTTGATAAAAAAACTTACATATATTGTAATTGAAAAAACCTTTAATTTTGTCGGAAAAACGTGTACCAGGCCTTAGTTGCATTGAGCAGTTATTTAGGATAAACTGGCTTATATCTGCGTCCTTATTCTAACCAATTTTCAAAAAATCTTTAATGCAGAGTTCTATTGATTGCTTTAAAGTAAAAATACAATATTTAGACTTTATAATTTATAAATATACTGTTTAAAATACTTATTGACTCGTTAACTGTTTTGAGAACATTTTTTTAAAAATTCATAAATATTATATTCTGTAGACTCGATGTTTGGTATTTTCAAAGTTTTCCTGATTACATTCAAACAATTTGCTGTGGTAAATCTTTTAAATTGCTACTAATATTATGATATAATACTGTTAAAGCTGTGTATGCTTTTTTGCTTATTTTTTACAACGTTTAATTGAACGTTATACAAAATGTGTGTGTATGTATATATATATATATATATATATATATATATATATATATATATATATATATATATATATATATGTATACATATATATATATATGTGTGTGTGTATATATATCTATGTGTGTGTGTATATATATATATATATATATATATATATATATATATATATATATATATATATTATATATATATATATATATATATATATATATATATATATATATTTATATTTATATACAGAAAGAGAAAGAGAATAACTAACTTAAATTACTTGATACATGTATATGATATAATCATAGAAACATAGACATTTATTTTTAGACAGTCATAAACGTTTTTTAATTAAATTTACTTTAGAATGAAAAAATAAATAAAACTAAAAAAACAGAAAACTCAGCGAAAATTGAAAA